TAATTTGTTGAGGTGTGGACTTATTAACTTAGGCTTGTAGGGATAGAATCTGTAGCAAGTATGTCTATATAACATGGCATGAGTGAAAATTTGAAGAGATTTTAGATCAGCAAATTGAGGGAATTCTGATTACTAATATGAGGAGAAAAGAGTCAAGAACAATGGACATCATTAAGCTTGAGAGATAAATATGTTATGTTTGTTTGTGTTCTTTTAGCTCTAAGTGAAAATGCTCTATACTTTTGGGATGCATGGTGAAGATATTTCTGATAATTCAGTGGGTAAGATAAATATAAGGATTTGATCTTGTATGGCGATACATTTCTTGTTGTACATCCAAGTTATATGTAGTTACTAGCCTTAATAGACCTTCTTTTCTTCACCTAATATTTACTGAACTTAAATTATTTTTGCTGAAACTAACTGAAATTAATTCATTTTTACTAACTTTAAATTATTTTGCTGAACTTAAATTATCTATACCGGTTAAAACTTATTTTTATTGACTTACTTATATATTTTGTTATATGAATATACTAATTTTTGTAAAAACTTGTGTTTATTGAAGTGAACTTATTTGAATTATTTTTACTAAACTTGAATTATTTATACTGAATTTTATTGTTTTTAAGGTGAAGAGATTGGGCCTTAGTTGTTCTAGTCTATCCGTTTAGGAAATCTTGTTTTTCATGTTTAGTATAAATTCCCAAGGTAGATTTGCTTATAGTTCTCTGACACTTCCCTTTTATTTAGATTTGTAGCATGTGTTGAATTTTGTGGTCATCCCCTGATTGCGGAAGCTATTTTCTCTTGGATTAGATGAAGTTTTAATATGGTAATGCCTTATTATGAAAGATTTGAAACGAATCATTCTTTTATGTTGGAAAATTTTAGGGTAAGATACTATTGCTCTATCAATTGGCTTAGAGCCTTAGAGAATTGTTCATGTTTGATATTTGCTGTTTTGTTGCATCCCTAAGGATGGATTGAAGCTTATGCAACCTAGCTGGACACAAGCCAATTAAGTTCCTCGTATGGTCCAAAAAAAAAAATCTTAACTCTGGAGGTTGGTCCTGAATTTCTTGATGGTACAGACAAGAGTTTTCATAGTCAGCTTTTCTAGTATGTATGAGATGCAGAACCCACGTTTTGCGTAATATCTGATTGTCTGCTCATACCTACGATTTCCGCATGGGTTGATGGTCATCAGTGATATCTCATATCCATGTTGTAAATCTTGTATTAGAAAGTACCTGTACGGCATAAATCAATCGTAATTGGGTTTTGCTGGGTATAGTTGGGCAATTGACCTAATTGAAATCCTTGCAAGGTAAGTGCTACTAGTCTACAACTGCTTGCAGCTAGCTGCTTGGGACTCAATCCCCTTAAAGACTTAAATTATCTATCAAGAAGGAATCGATAATTGGAAAAATATTTAAACTTGATGTTAAAATATCTGTATGGTGGATATGAACAGACTTTGGGTGAGAATACGCTGTTATTGATTTAGAGTCCCAAGGTGACAACCTATCTCATTTTCATTTCCTTATTGATATCTTGTGGCATTTGAGTCTTCATAGATCTCCTGTTGTTATATTGCATATCTTTAGCATTCCCTTTGAATTGGCTCTGATAAAAATTTAAAGCTGTTGATTGAACAAGCTTTAATAGCCTTGAGAGGAGTGGGATTGCAAAACCTTAGTTCCTCTGACCTTCTTTCTCGCTGAACCAATGAGGTCAGAATTTGGGTCCTCTGCATTCATCTAATCTGCTGACGCCTCAAATCTTGATATCTAACTTGATGCCTCCCTACCATCTTTACTTTGTTTTAATGACCGTGTTACGTCTGGCACACCTTTATTCACTGTCTTTCCTTTTGTTTTGTTTGTGTGTGTGTGTGGCTCAGTGGATACACTTTTGGCTGTGTCATCTTGAAACTTAATTCCGCTACTTCAAGTTTGACCAACCACTTGTTGAGGCACATGAAAGTATTGAAAATTTGAAACACAAGTGATTAGTAGGTATCTTTAGTGATGGCTTATAGGCTTGCCATGGGTTCTTTTTGAGCCATTATGATATATTTAGGATTAGAATTTGTTGATCCTGTTACTAGACGTTGGGTATGTGGTTGTGAGCTTGCGATGTTGTGTAGGTGCCATTGCCTGAAAACAACTAGGAGTGACGTATTGAAAGTAGCTGCCTTTGCTTTGTGTTTAAATTCTCGATAGTATTCTTTTGATCTTTGTGGATGGTACTGATAGATGAATGGTCTAATCTAGCTTACTAAATACTTTTTTGGTTGGGGTTTTGTGATCATGCTTTTTAATTGGGAGAACTACATCAACTGTGACAAAGCAACTCTGATTTGTCTTCTTCATTTGTGAGCTTTGAAGCTAGTGTTATGCAAACAGACTCTTTTCAAAAGCCGTATTGGTTTCATTCTTGCACCACATTAGAGTAGTATACTTTCGGTCAGTAGTGAGAGCTTGAAATGTGGTAATCATATATAATGTGTGTTTGACGAAGGATAACCTTAATACTTGCTTAGGCTTACTGCATCAATGCAAAAAGAGCATACATAAGTTCTCCCCGATTGGTTATTTATCAGTCCTAGGATGAGTCTATTGTCAGGATCAAGTCATCATCATGTTGCTGGTTTAATGAATACTTGTTTGATTTTATCCTCAAGGAAACAACTTTTGCTGTCTTCTTGGGTGCAATCTTAACTCATATAATTAGTCCTGCAAATGCGGCATTTAGTTGGGTAGCATGCTTATAAAGCTTATGGAATATTGATGTCATATCTTCTTTTTTTTATTTTTTTTATTTTTTAAGGAAACTGAAATAAAAAAATTGTAATGTTCCTACTGTATGCACGCCCCTCCCCCCCCCCCCCCCTTTCTTTTTCCCTGCCTCTTTATCTCCTTAAGTTTGTGTGGAGTATAATATTGATTGCATATTCATTTTGTACTAGTTCTTCCTGCGTATCACAAAAATTTGCACGGTTTCCTATTTTGGATGTCCCAAAATAACTCGCTCACAATTTATGGTGTCTTCCACTTTTACTCTCTCTTTCTTATTTTATCTAAATATTTTCTCATTTTTCACTACAATATATTTACTCATTTATGTTAATGATTCTTGATCTTTGTGTCAAAAGTAACCATGCAAGTATTTGTGGATAGAGGGAGTACATCTTATTGCTGAAAATGTTAACTACTCCCCCCCTCCCCCTTCTCTCCTCTTTTTTCCCCACTTATGCTTCTGTGTTTTACTTTTTGCACTTTATACAAGGGGGAAAGATGTGATTTCCTTGTGGATTTCCTGTTCTGAATCTTGTAATGTGATGAGGTGTTTGCAGTTCTTCCCTAAAAGAGGAGGCACCCCTAGGAAGAACGAGATTGTTTTTACTGCCCCAACAGGGGAGGAGATTCACAGCCAAAGGCAGCTGCAGCAGTACCTGAAATCTCATCCTGGTGGTCCACCAGCATCTGAATTTGATTGGGGCACTGGTGAGACGCCTAGAAGATCAGCTCGAATTAGTGAGAAAGTAAAAGCTTCTCCTACTACTCCTGAAAGTGACCCCCCCAAGAAGAAGAGTAGGAAATCGTCTGCTTCCAAGATAGATAGCAAGGATGGTGAGGCCACAGCTGAAGAAACTAAGACGGATGAGATCCAGATGGATGATGCTGAAAAGATAGAGAAAAAAGAGACAGACGAGGGAGCCAATAAAGATGTCGAGATGCAGGAAACTGGAAAGACCGAGACAGGGGGGGCTGAGGTGGAAGTTGAAAAGGAAGTTGCAAAAGAGAACCAACCGGAAAACAAAAATGTGACTTCTGAGACCAAGGAGGCTGCTCCTGAGCCTGAGAGTGAGACTGCAGTGCCTGTAGCTAAGGATGAGAAATGTGCAGAAACTGAGAAGCTAGATACAAAAGAAAGTGAGGGTGATAAGACCTCCGTTGATGATGCAGAGAAGCAAGGCCCACTACAGCCAGCTGGGAAGCAGGATAGTTTGCAAGAACAGGTGAAAGAAGATGCTGTGATTCCAAATGCAAAAGAGAGTGAGGGAGATAAGACTCCCGTTGAAGATGCGGATTTAGAAGCAGGGAAGCAAAGCCCACAAGAGCCGGCTGAGAAGCAAGAAGGTTTGCTGGAACAGGTGAAAGAAGATGCTGAAGAAGGCAAGAAAGATGCATCAACTGATCCAGATGCAAGAAATGTTGAGGATAAAATAGGAGCGGATCCTTCTCAAGTAACTACTCTTGAAAAGAACGCAGTTGGAGAGGATAATTCTAAAGCTGCGGAGCAACCACATCCTGAGAAACAGGACAGTTTGCCAGAACAGGTGAAGCCTGAAGCTGATGTCAATATTGCTGCCAAAGACAATGGAACAGCTACTCCAGAACCCACAGAACCAAAGGGAAAAGATTCCGTGGAGGGTGACATAAACAAGAAGGTATTGGAGGTGATCGAGAATGGAAGTCAGGCAGGCGAGGCTAGATCTTGAATCTTGATTCTCGCTAATCTCATTGTCATCTTGCTGTTGAGTCATCTCTTTTTGAGATCTATGGGGCTCTCTGAATGACTGTAGTAGCATTGTTGTTTATGGTAGAAACTGATTTGTTGTTTATGGTAGATTCTGATTTGTTGTTAGTCAAGATACCCCTGTACACAGTTGTAGATTAGGCCACAGAGTCTTGACCTAGCCTGTGATTAGGGGGAAAATTTGTAGCTCCTGTAGAGATCTGTCTGTAACGTTTTGCTGTCAAATTGCTGCTTCTGTTATAACTTAACAACCATTATATGTAATGTATGAAGCTACACTTATATGTACGGTTAAATAATTCTATATCCTTATAACACTTGAATAACGCGGCTCTATCAGCTGTTTGCAGCCGATCATTTGATCGAGGAGATAAAAATCACTTTGCATTATAACATATGCTCTTAAAACCGTGATATAAGTTTGAAAATGCCGAATTACAACTAAGGTGTGATTAATTATGAGAATAGTTACATGTAAAATGAATGCTAATTCTTGGCCTCAAGAATGGTAAAATTCACATACTCCATAGAAAAAATGTTGCCGAACTAGTGGGTCTTTACAAATTATGAGTAGAAAGTATGAAATCTACTCCAAAATAGAGGAAGTGGATACAACTCTTGCTTAAAAATAAGGCAAGTGCAGTTAGAATTAGAAAGTCTCTTTCAAAGTCCCTTGAGAACTCCATCAAGTCCTGTCAGTGTAGTCCATTTCTCAAACGCACTAGCCGAAGATACAAACGCAATCTTAGATGATTCAACATCTTTCTGGGCCACTACAAACAACGAAAAAATATCAGTATGACACGTCGTAATGCAGAGAAAGTAAGCTTAGAGAGTTTTCCAGCCCTCACCAGATGATATCAGCTTTGAAATTGAGGTGTTGAACATATCAACTTCTTCCTTTTCCTCAGGGCCTAAGCTTAGCTGTTAGGGGAGTGTTTTCAGGAAGTTCAAAAGAAATAAAAATAGACTGAGAGTTCTGCAGATCAATAGAAGACTTGAATCCAGCAATAAATACTACGAGTAAAGACTCAGGAACAGACCTTGGCGAAGGCTGAATTAGCCTTCTTAATCCAATCAGTGTCAGTGCTAGCGCCAAGAACTGAACTAGCAGCTTTCAGATCATTGCTATCTATAGCTTGGCCTACCTCGCTCAACTTGTACACGACATCTTGCAGGTATCCTGATGGTTTTGGACAGAAAGAAACATACTGCATAAGCATCATACTGAAATGTGCATTAACCACTAGGTTCACAGTACTGCAGAACTTTGGAGATTACTGAACAGTAAAAACATGCAACTGCCCATAAATTCGATATAAACATTACCCTAATGCTTTTGATTCTTCGTTTACTGTTAAGGAGAAATTACATTTAAAACTGCAAGGAGTAATTGTTCAACAAAATGATAAATGAAAAAGGTGCGAGATCTTAAGCAGTTCAAACATTATTCCCCTTAAAGTCACTGAATTATTTGTGTGTTTTCAGCAGTAAATCACAGTCTGAATTTCAGCATGACAGCAGATATAAGTAGGTAAAGCTCAAATCTGTTACTTGGACTTGGGTAGCATATTGTGATAATATTCAATGATTTTGGCCCAAAACGATTGCCTGTCCGAGTCTCAAGGATCCAACACGGGTAGTGTACGTGAAATAACGACTTCATTCAGAAAACTCAAAAATTAAGAAAAAGAACCTTTTTCCTTAGTAGATGAGTTAATAACTCCTTGTTTTTCAAGCCTCTTCTTCCTATCCTTCTTGACCTTCTCCAAGAGCTCTAAATCATCCTCAGCTTCCAATGGCGCCGCTTCGGCTACTGGCACGGCTTTCCCTGCTAATGATAGAAGAAATGCAGAGGATAAAGACAGGGCAAAGCTTCTTTTACTAAGACATGGAATTGATGATGATGATAAAATTGGTGATTCTGATTTACAAAAGGGTACTAATAGATTAAAATGTTTGTTTTTTTGAAGGCAAAATAATGAATTTGATGGTGGAATTGAAGTGGGTGTTAAAGAATTGGATGATGAAAGATAATGGAATGTGTTAGCAGTTGACAGAAAAGCTGATGCTACTGCCATTTTTTTTTTCCCTCTTATTTTCTTCTTTCACTTTAAGTTTTTGTTAGTAGAATTTAGTAGTATGAACTTTTTTTTTTTTTTTTTTTTTTTTTTTGGTGGGAAAAATTTGTGAAGGAGGGCAACATTGGACTTTAAAGAGATAAGGTTTTGTTGGATATCTCTGATCCAATAGATATATATGGGGTCATTTTTGTAAAATTAGGGAGTCTTTTTTTTGCAGTTTTTGCTTATTAAAACTGATGTTTAATTGTTAATATTTTATATTACTGAATTATGTTACTTTCACCATGGTTTCAAAAAAAAAAAAACTGTTACTTTCAGAAAAGAAAAAAATAAATAATATTTGAATTATGTTACTGACTTTTTTCTAATCTGTAATAATTAATAAGGAGTACTGAATTGTACGCAACATTTGATTTTTCAACACCATATTGTCAGATTTATCTGATTATATATTTTTGAATTTCTTTTTAAACAATACTGTATAATTTAAAAAATTTGATGGTCAAAGTTTCTATAAAGGTCAAAATGTCATACATGAATTGAAAAACGAAGGAAATAGTTATTGTTATAAAAACCAAACAACTGCATGATTTCTCTACAAGTCTATAATGATACTCTTAAAGGTCTTGATAATTTCCATTTGCACACCTTGCTGTCTTTTATTGTAATCACACTAATCTAAGCAATCCATACTTCATTTTCACCTGCTTTGTTGCTTGTACTCCCACATACATTTGTGAATTGTCCATCTTAGTGATCCCATTATCGCTACCCAAGTGAGATTAGTTTTCTAAGTTGAAGAGAACAAAGTCTTACTCCATATATACGACGTGGACATACATGGCTAAAGAACTTCAAGCAGAAAGTCTTGAAATTCGTATTGATAACTTGACTAGGATATATTGCATTAAAAGTACTAGCCTGGATCAAAAGAAACAATAACATGATAAACTTTGAGATATAAAGAAATGCTTGCCAAAAAAGTAAAAATTCCATCACAAACGTGTGTTGTAACTATTGGCATATACAAAGGTCTTAATTATCAATTAAGATTTGGAGCTTTATTAAACAAATAAAAAGGGGTGTTGTTCCAAATTACGAGGTGTCGTTCGCAAATTTTGTATGATATTTCATATTTGCCCCTAGTATATAAATACTCACGTTACTCACTCACGACACGTACAACACATTTCACGCTCGTACTTCTCTCTCTAAAATTTCAAAATCTTAAAAAAAATCTGAAAAAAAAAACAGAAAACTAACCAAAAATCTGAAACAGATTTTTTTGGGAAAAAAAAAATCTGTGAAAAAAAAAACAGAAAAGTAAGCAAAAAAATTTCAACAATCAACACCAATCCAACAACCAACACCAATCCAAGGAGGCTAGCTATGGCGGACCGGCGGCGAATCAGATTGACGTTTGGGGGTCGTGGCGGCGGCGTGGGTGGTGGCGAGCATGCGCGTGAAATCTAAAAAAAAAAAAATCTGGAAATATATAGGGACATTCGCCTGAAATTTCCGGATGTTCCATGGGACATCCGGAAATTTTAGGCGGATGTCCCTATAGATTTCAAGATTTTTTTAATTTTTTTTCTTTTTCTCTTCAATTTTTTTTTGGCTTTTCGTGATTAATATTATTATTTTCTCGTGATTAATTTTATGTTTTTTTTTTCGTGCTTAATATTTTATTTTTTTCATGATTAATATTTTTTAAATAACCGATTAAAATTATTATTATTAGTAATGTTACCTAATGTTATTATTAGTAGCAATATTACTATTATTATAATTATCGTTGTCATTATTATTATCGTTGTTGGTAATATTGTTATTATTGTTGTTGTTATTGGTATTATTACCGTTATTGTTGTTGTTTTGCAATGTTGTTAGTATTGTTGTTGTTATTAGTATTATTACCAACACCTTATGTTATTGTTTATTATTATTATTTTTATTGTTAGTATTATTATTTATATTATTAGTATTATTAGTATTGTTGTTAAATTATTAGTATTGTTGTTGTTTATTATTATTATTTTTATTGTTATTGTTATTAATGTTGTTATTATTATTATTATTGTTACTGTTATTAGTATTGTTATTACTGTTTTGATTTGTTTTTTTTTCTTTTGTGAAATTATTGTTATTGTTATTAGTATTGTTATTGTTGTTTTGATTTATTGTTATTGATATTTGATTTTCTACCTATTTAATGTAGATTGAGGGTTTTGGTGCTCGTCATGCAATATCAAGACGTTTGAACGCGTCTGTTAGGAGGGAGTCAGGTCGTTCAGGAAATACGGGGGCACCGTTTCATCATGAGCAGCAATATGGGTTTGCTGGTACTTGGTCGGGGGAGCATCAGTCACAAGGGAGCCTCCCTATGTACTCGTCAGGTGGAGAGCCTACATTTGACGATGAGGACGAAGAGCGGGCAAGTCAGGCTGATCGAGATGAAGAGTATGACCCTCAGGATTACCATACGGTGTATAAGGGTCAATATGGGAGATTTGTTGGTAGCAGTAGTCAAACGAGTCAGCCTTCCACCACATCAGCAGAGACATGGGTAGTGCAGCAGCCGATGCCAGGTGGTCCTGAGGATGGTACTGTTATCCCTAGTTTTGGGGGTCACGTGGCTGCGTATATATGGGGCGGGCAGGAGCGTAATGTTTTGCGCTGTTTGAGCAGGACACAGTTGTGTTCTGAGTTGGATACCTGGCGAGGTCGTCTTGCACAGGAGCGCCTGGAGTTGATTGATGGTAGTGGTTTGTCTCACTTACCCGGGATCATGTTTAGGCGTTTTGATTGGCCGTTGATTTATGCTTTCGTTGAGAGATGGCAGCCAGATACGAACACGTTTCATATGCCATTTGGGGAGATCACCATCATGCTGCACGATGTGTACCGTATTCTTGGGCTTCGTGTTGATGGTTCCATGGTTTCCACTACTCCTAGCACGGACGTGCTACGGGACGCGTGCTCGGTCACCATGGACATGACTGCAGAAGAGCTGAATGAGAAGTGCGGTACAAAGACCATTTGGCAGGGCAGTGGGGTGCTGAATGAGAGGATTATGGACTCGACCTTGGAGGCGCAGAGGCCCTTTAGTGTCCATTATAGTGCCTACATGTGGTTAGTACTAGGCGGATGTCTGTTTTTGGACAAGAGTGGGTCATCAGATGGGAGTAGCAGACTACCGGAGAGGACTAACACGGACTACGTAAGCATTTGTCTTTTATTATACTTTATATACCACTTAAACAAATACGTGTACTTTGTTTTGTTAATATGTTGTTCTTTTATTTGCAGTGGATGGGTCGGTCCATGGAGATTCACCGGAGATCACTGGAGGAGTATCCCAGCATGACGCGTGACACGAGGGCAATGACTGAGCAGCTAATAGCTGATTGGAAGGCGATGATGGGGTTGTGAATCACTTCTCCTTTAGTTTTATATTAGCTGGTAGTCATTGTTTTACGGTACTTTGTATTCTGCATGTAATTTTAAAACTTGAGACTAATATAATATTGGGTTTTGTTGAAACTTTGTTTAATTACTTATATTGATTGATTTATATTACATAGCTACAACTGTTCAACCTAAGTGAAAGTACATAAATCAGTTCACTGCCTAACTAATGCATCCCACATGTTCCTTCTCACTTCATATTGCTGATCTCATCCGTCGACACTTGGCTCGTGGTGCTCGGTCCACCATCCTGCGATCGGGGGAAGAGGTGAATTTTCTGTAAGATCAATACGGATGAAATGTGACCCCCCAACTGTAGCAATCACAAACTCTCGGGCAGGTGCCCTGACCGTGTTTCGTGCCCGCAACGGTAAGATCGTGATGCATGGGTGGTAGCAGCCTGGTACGGTGCCTACACCAAGAATAATAACCCTTGCGTTGAACCATGTTGCAATAGGAAATAAATCTTGAATTGCAACCATCCAATGTCGTGAATCAACCACCCCACCATCCCATCTAATACGTTCCACGTTCACCCGAACCCTTCCAATCCCGTAAATCCTTTCGTACAAGAATGGATGAGCAGCAACCTCGTTTGCTATTATTTCCCGAGCGTCAAGACATTGCGCTTCATCACCGAGGAAGAAGTCGGCCACACAACGAAAGCCACAGTTATCATCGCCAATGACATCCTTCCATGCCGTGATGTAAGGCAAGATCGGTCCTGGAAGCAAGTGCAAATACCTGCATTGGCGGATGTCACATGGATCTTCTGCTCCTACACAAAATTAATGTTCATTATTAGAATGCTCCAAGATGAAATACGTGTAAATCACAATTGCCAGCCGTACCTGTTTGCTGTGCACCACATGGAGTGTTTCGACGGTTGACATGCTCGAAATAACAGGGATCACGTCTTGTATCATTGTTTCTTCGTCGACCTCGAACGTTGTGGTTTACTTGTGGTTCTTCAAGGTTTGAATGATCTGGATGCAGACCTCCTCAATGATTCGAGATACATTTCGAAGTACAGCAGGATCACTACCAATGACCTCATCAACCAGGGAACGAAAATGTGCAGCTTCCTCGTTCGAGTCGTTAACGAACACCGGTACATCAACCTCATCACCGATAAACAAGGTCTTTCAGAACGGATGAATTTGCCTTGTATACAAGCATGTTTGCGCAACTAGCGAATCATGTATCTGGCAAGCACATGGCAAACTATGCGTCACACGCATTGCACATCCACAACGCTCATACACCTGGTAACTCAGCTCCCTCATCATTCTCGTCTCGTCATCGAGAACTTTCAAACAATGCTGGGACACCTTGCCGTTAATACGTGACAGTGGCAATTGTCTGTACTTCTCACCAATCTTCGACCTAGACGCCTCCAAACCATTACGAATCGCAATGATCTGGTTACCAATATGACAATGTACTCGGGCCCATACGGTATCCAAAGAACCTGCCGTTGATTAGAATTATGAAAAAACCGTTACAATTTGTAATTAGAATAACTAAAACAAAGTAAGTACATCAACTACAACATAATAACAACGAACTTGTCGAAGATTCAAACCACATCTTCACGGCCGAATTTTGGCTCTCGACTCTGCAAGTACTCGTGTTACCTAAGTGAAGAACTTGGTTCGTCCAGAATGTCACAAATTTGGTTTTATGACAAAGCCATGTTCTCTCAACATAACTAATCACTGCCGGATAACTTGCCCACCGAGTTTTCATTGTATCAACAACAGCATTATAATCCGCCTCGGTTGCAGCATCCATGATACGTTTCCATTTGCCGTTTTTGAAACTCGCACCAATCCTCTTGTTTTTGAACATATCAGTGACCCGAGCCTCCACATCTTTGTTAATGTGCCATTGACAAAGTAAATGCGATGTCCCTGGAAACACTTCTCTTAATGCTGCACAGAGGCCAAGCTCACGGTCAGTCAAAAATACTGACGGTTCCTTATCATACCCAATCAGCTCTCTTAATCTCTGCAAAACCCTCCGATATCTGGCCGTGCACTCGTTGCGCATGAACACATAACCGACGAGGAAATTCTGATTTGTCAGTGTCACACCAACTATCTCAAAGAACGGCATCCCGTATCGGTTGGTCTTGTAAGTCGAATCCATACCGATCACATGTGGGTTTGTCTCGCCAAATGAAGAAATTGCTGAACAACTCCTCTCCCATCAGACATCTCCGTTTTCAAGTCATTCCGGCAATTGTAAATATGTCTGATGTTTGGATGATCATCAGAAAATTGCTCTGCAATCGTCGCCATGATGTTACGCGGTGCAACCTTAGACTTTGTCATGTCACGCACAACCTTCTTCGCATCCTGGCTCAAGTTACTAATTTTACGATGACCCTCCTGATACACAATCATTGGACGGTTATGGGTCCCATTTGCATCATTTTTTGCCCGAATCTTCCAACTATCGGTGACGAACTCATAATATATCTTGATGTATAAAGGACAACCATTAGTTTTGGTTTTTGTGTCCTTCCGAATTGCGTTCTCAAGATCTCTCGGCTTGCTCTTTCGTCCCTGATCACATCTCAAATATCGATACGGTCGACCATCTCTGATTTTGTTGTAAGACGATTTAACCAAAATAAATCCCAGATTTATGGCAACAACATCCGCCCAATTAACTGCATCATCAAACGTTGGAAAAACGTGCCTGTGACAAAATGAGCACTATAATTCACACTGTCATCGCCGTCTTCGAACTCCGATACCTATAAATATAAAATAATACACACAAAACACTCCAATATTATTATTTTAATTATAATATTAATAACAATATTTTAACAACAACAACAACAACAACAACAACAACAACAACAACAACAACAACAATAACAACAACAACAACAACAACAACAACAACAATAATAATAATAATAACAATAATAACAAGAATAATAACAATAGTAATAATCAATAATAACATACAAAAATAATAATAGTAATAATACTAAAATAATAATAATAATAATAATAATAATAATCATAATAATAATAATAACAATAATAATAATAGTCGTAATAATAATAATCATATCTATATTAATAATAATAATAACAATAATAACACCAATAACAAGAATAATAACAATAGTAATATTCAATAATAACATACAAAAATAATAATAGTAATAATACTAAAAATAATAATAATCATAATAATAATAATCATAATAATAATAATAATAATAATAATCGTAATAATAATAATCACAATAATAATAATAACAATAATAATAATACTAACATTCAATAACATAAAAAAAAGGGACTTCCTCCCAGAAATTTCGGATCCTCCATGGTGGATTTGGAAATTTTATTCGGATCCTCCATGGAGAATCCGAAATTTCTGGGCAAAAGTCCCTTGCACCGAAAAAAAAAAATTCTTCCGACGTGGCCTCCGGTGTACGATCGTTGTCGTCGTCCATCGTCCAAAACCCGTCGCTAAAGCTTCTTCCTTTTTTTTAAAAAAAAAAACAATACGTTTTTGGTGGTGGGCTCGGGAATTTTTTAAAGCAAGTGGTGGGTCAAAGTGCTCGGGAAACTTATAAAAATGCTCGGGATTTGTTGTGACAAAGCGGTGGAGCTTTATATAGCCCAAATTATGAAAAGGGCAAAATGGTAATTTCATATTAAAATGGGAGCGACGCTTGGTAATTTGGGAGCGACGAATAGCAGTTCACATAAAAAAAAATAATAAACGTTCAAATTGATTTGATTTAATTTTTTTGTTAGTACGTAATGAAAATGAAGGTTGGATATGTGCTTCTTTAGGAAGAGACAGCTCTAAGGTGTGACCTTTTTAGTCATGTAGATGTTGTACATGCAAAGATGCTCCTTTAATTTACCTAAAAAGCACAATAAATATACTTTGGATGGTTGTATTTTATTATAAGATCTCTTTGAACTTTTTGATTATCATGGTATGTGTATCTTCTTCCAAATTAAAGCTTTTTTCCAATTTTCCTATGAAAATGGACTTCAAAGTGGTTATTATTGTTAGTAATTGTTTGAGCGAGCGATTAACATATCTTATTAGTAATATAGAGATGAAGCTGTTTAAATAAAAAAGAACGTAAATTTAGAGATGAATCGAAGGAAGTATATAGAGTAATAAAATGAGTGTGTTTTCCTCTTTTGTATGCAGTTATATAAGAGTTAATAGTAGTACAAAAAAAAATTAGACTGATATATATTATTCCAAGCTTATTAGTCTAATGTAGATATTCCATCAACTTATACTTAATTATAAATTTTGTAGTTTAAAGTCAACATACCTTAAAGTTTTAAAGATTCGATTCGTTTATTTGATTCCCAAATGTTGTTGTATTTATTTTATAACATTCTGTATATAGCTAAAATATTTTAGTCAATACCGTATGTATTACAAGTATAAATTAGTTTACGTGCAATAGAAGTTTTGTTTTAATTTAGTGTAGTTGGTTGTGGTTAATTACATGAAGAAGTCTCCTTAATCAAATACACTTTAGTACACGTAATAACATATGATTAATGGGTAAGTATTTCTCATAGCAAAGTAACATTAATTGTCCTATTATATGCAATGGAGTATAATTTTATAACTTTAATTATGAAATTGATAGAAAATAAAATAACATGAAAAGGTTTAAAAATGTTCGGTGGTTTTAAAAAGTAAATCGTCATATTGTTTCACAAAACTAAGCATTTTTGTACATTAACAGCGTTGATAGCACTAAACATGAAATTGATGTTTTGGTGACTTCTTAACGATACAAAGGTGCACTTATTCTCTAATCGATCGATCTAAAAGTTTCAATTTTAATGCATATATAAAAAGTAAGTGGTGCTTTAGAATCTTTGACGTTTTTTGCCTTTTGCATGCATGGTTTATACACTATTGTGTGTCATACTATGTTATATAAGGGGTGTACACGTAGGAGTGTACGTGGATACGAATATCTTAGTAGCTTAGTTGATTAATGTCATGAGGTGGTATTTACGAGTTACGACATGAGATTGAATGACTGTCAATAATATCATTTGCTCTTTATGATTCTTTTTACACAATTTTTTCAAATAATAGTAAAAACAAATCAAATCGTAATCAGTCATTCAGTTGTTAATTGTTAACTTATTCACTAGACTAATATCATAATCTGATAATGTTAGCTAGATAAAAAGTTTGGATACCAATTCAAACATATCATTTGACTATTCAATCATGTTCATAAGTTAAAATAACGGTTTAAAACCAATAGGTGGCAAAAAAGAAACAACTATATCAAACATGGTCTCTATCACGTACTACATTACTCAATCGATTGATAATGTAAAAAAAGAAATTATATTATTTGACACCTTACCAAATCATATTTGTTCATTATATAAGAAGATAAGATCCTTATTGCAACTCAATAGGTTTGCTCCACTTTCCAATTGTAATTGGCATGCAACGAACCTTAAAAGTTTGTTAGATTATTTTCTTTTTGAGCGACATCTAACTTTTTCAAATTTTTTTTTTTTTGAACAAAATGCCTTAACATGCAATTTGATAATCAATTGTGCTCAAAAATTTTAATTTAGACATATACGAAATACTTAGTAAATTTATCCTATAGTTAGAATTAGAAACTATGCTTAAATCTACACTAATAAAAAAAATCTACTCTAGTAAATCTATTTTCTTACACTTAATCCATGTGAAGGGAAAACACTAATTTCTTTGTTTAGTATGATGAAGAATTTATTTATTTTTTATTTTTTTTTTATCTTTACAAGCTTAATTGGAGTAATTATTGTTACAATGTCTATTTTATACAAAAATGTATAAACAATATTACATTTTATTGTAATATGATGACAAAAAAAATATATTAATATGGATAATGTATATATTCCATCATTTTTCTAGCATTTAATGTTTGAAAAATAAAATTCCGATCTACTTTTTTCAATTTTACTTTTCAAACACGTGACTAATCGAATACTTTTTTTGAATGGACGAAATACCAAAGACTATATATATACCATACATAGAGACCCTTGGAAGTTGCTTCTTTTGGGATAACTAACACAAGTGAGAGTTTACCATTAGAAGTCAGCTTGGAAACGGTAGAAGTTTCAATAATTAATTAGCAAGCCTAAACTTATGTTAGAGAGTAACAACAAACATTTTCAGCCAAATACTTCCTTTTATTGAAGTATAAACTATACTTATATTAGCTAATATAATAATCCTATGGACCTAGTTTAATTAACCTTTTATTAATTAAGTGAGATGAGCAATCTTATGGTTGTATCACAATCACATATATCATCACAGCATCTAGTGGTTGGTTCTTTGCACAGCACATAAATGGTACAGCTCAACTACAATGATTAGTAGGGTAGGTTTCTTTTCTTCGATCATTTCTTTGTTTCTTTAGTCGACATTATGAATTAATATCATGATTCAAACATGATTAGCAAAATAAGACATTTTTATTTTTGATTGAATTTTCTCCATTGTATATATGAAAATATCTGGTTAGAACAATGCTTATTTTGTTCAGAAATTATTGTGAAGTTGATATAGGTGTATACAACTAATACGGAGTAATGTAATAACTAAACACGAGTAGAAAGAGTATGTAGGTCATCATATTTGACTTCAAGGTCAACCGGTTTACTTTGATGATTCTATATTTTTCTTATTGATGTATGTATACATGTGTACTCATATAATATAAACTCTCATGAAAATCATTTTGTACAATGTATTATATTTAACCTTTAAAATTTAATAGACTTATGAGTGTTATTATTAGGCCATATTTTGTTCGCCTTGTGTTTACTTATTTTGAGAAAAGTAAATTTACATAAGGCTTAACAAGTTCTGATAAGTTTATGTTATAACTAAAATAAGTTCAAATAATTTCTAATAAAATCAAATAATAAATAAAAATAAGGTAAATAAAACAACGTACTCATTATATTACGAGGAGCACATAGGTATAAGAGCGCGCAGATCGCCTGCGCGACACCTGAATTCTGAGTCTTGATCCAGGTTAGTCTTTCCCATATGCACAACAAGTTAATAAATAGATGAAACAACACGCAATGACACTAACCTATACCACAAACACATGCATCAGTAAAACACACAAGGATAGGAAAGTTACCTTATATAGGACTTGTTGTGACAGAGCATCGAGGTGACTGTCATCACGTGACACAAAGTTAGCATATTGAGCCTTATCCCTTCTACTGTACTACTCTTGCCATTTTTTTTTATCAGCTACCAAATTAGGTGTAATCACGACTGATTAGATTCGATCATGCATAATATTGTAAATATAAGATAAAATTAAGGTTAATCAGGTCTAATAAGTTTAATTTAAAAATTAAAGCGTATTAAACACACTCTATATACCTAAAAATACCCTTTTCTTAAAATAAAAAAAAAGGTAGAAAATATATGCATAAATAAATAAAAAAGAAAAAAGAAAGAAGAAAAAAAAAAGGAAAAAAACTCAAAAACATTCAAGCGCGTTTACTCCATTTGACTAAAATCTCAATTACCTTAAAAAAAATGTGATTACTTTCTTCAACAAAAACAACTTCAAAAAAAAACAAGAAACTAATTAAACTGAGAATACAAGTGTGAATCAAAAACCCCATTCTCTTATAAAACCCTTCCACATTCTTCCAGTTTCCCTCTTCCTTTTTTTTCTTTATTCTTCTTGATTTGATAATCACTGTTTATAAAGTAATCACAGTAACTAATTTGTGATACTATTAATTTTCCACAATCAATTATTGGGCTTTATTTTAAGCAATTTTTAGCATTTAATTTGATGGGGTTTTCATAAATTGAGAGTTATTATTCTTAAAGAACATCTATTTTTCAATGGGATCTTCAATTTCAAGTTGAAATCTTTATTTCTGAGTATTTTTAAAAAGAGAATTTCATGGTATATTTGAATAGTAACTATTTTAACATTAATTATAATAATAATTTCTGGTTGTAGTAGCTTTTTTTTCATTTGAAGGCTGCTTAAATTCAAATTTGTGGAGGTTGAGACTTGAAATGTTCTACAAAGCTATGAGATTCGGCAGATTGAATTCTTTCTTGTTCTTGCTCTTATCATCACAGATTGGTAATTCTTCCTAATTAAATTCTTTTAAAAATATTTTAAAGTTTAATTTGATCATATTATTATTGCTATTTACTAGTTTGATTTTGTTAGTATTCAGTTTGTTTAAATTTATCTCATATTTGATCTTATTGGGTTTTGATACCTGGGTGGGATTTTTGTTTTGCTTTTATATTTGTTGGAGTTGGATTGCAATGGATAGAGTGATTGTATTTTTACTGAATTGTTGAAATATAAGTTGGAGTTGCTATGAATTTAGGGGTGTTAATGGTTGTTTCCTGTCTATAGGGTCAGTTTATTAGTAAGTAGGAGTACAAAAAATTGGGATTATAGTTGTACAGTAATTCCTTATTGATTAGTTCTTGCTGTGAAAACAGCTGCGAATACCGGGTAGGTTGAGGAGCAAAACGAGGAATCTGACCGAGGAGGGGGGTTCGTTAGCAAGAAGTAGATATGCTATGGGTATTCACTATTGTTTTATAGCCTTTGTGATCATTGTAGAAAATTTACATGTCAAAGTATCTGGTTCTGATGGATTAGTAAGCATATGGTTGCTTTGCCTGATTCAATAGAATAGGCCTCCACTGCGAGGTGTGATGAATAAGTAGCCTTTTAAGTGAACTACTATATTGGATGGCCTAAACTGTTGTCTGCTCTTTGTTTCTTCTCGTGGTTTGAGTGGAGAATTTTCTTATTCTGTGATGTTAAATGTATTTGATATTAAGGCTAATATAATGAATGCAATTCTTGTTAAGTTTGAATATTCACTCAGTTTAGATGAATGTAATTCGGGCCCTTCCTTTCATCTCGAATACTGGTGTTGGACACTTCAAGTCTTCAAGCATCATGTCCATGTCCATTACATAAACTAATTAGTATCTTTAAAAAATTGAAGATGACCAATTTTAAGTGATTATATTCTGAGAGCTGGAAGATTTAATCTTGACTGTGCTGTTTCTGTTCCTTCTTCCAGCACCATTGACAGTTAATGCTTTTACTGGAACTTATGGAATTAATTATGGGAGAATTGCTGACAATATCCCAACGCCCGACAAAGTTGTTCAGCTTTTGAGAGCTGCAAAGATACGGAATGTTAGAATATTTGACTTTGATCACAGCGTGCTTCAGGCTTTCAGCGGGACTGGGCTTGAGTTGGTTGTCGGACTTCCAAATGGTTACCTCAAAGACATGAGTGACAATGCAGACCATGCACTTAGCTGGGTCAAAGACAACATACAACAATTTTATCCTCAGACTCGTATTGTTGGTATTGCCATTGGAAATGAAGTACTAGGGAATGATCAGGACCTCTCGGAAAGTCTTTTAGGTGCAGCGAAGAATATTTATAATGCAACAAAAAGTCTCCATCTTGATCATAAAATTCAAATTACCACATCCCATAGTTTCGGTGTTTTTGATAATTCTTACCCTCCATCCAATTGTACGTTTAGAGATAATGTGAAACAGCAATTCATGGTGCCACTTTTGAACTTCTTTCAACAGATTGGATCACCTTTTTGCCTAAATGCTTATCCTTTCCTCACCTACATGAGTGATCCAAAACACATTGATGTAAAATATGCTCTTTTTCAGAAAAATCCTGGCATTGTTGACTCCCAAACAAAACTCCACTATGACAATCTGCTTGATGCTCAGATTGATGCAGCTTATGCTGCTCTAGAAGATGCGGGTTTCAAGAAGATGGAGGTAATAATTACTGAGACTGGTTGGGCATCTCATGGGGATCCAAGTGAAGCTGTTGCTACTCCAGAAAATGCAAAGACCTATAATTACAACCTGCGGAAGAGGCTAGCTTTGAGGAAGGGGACTCCAATGAGGCCAAAAATCATGCTTAAAGCTTATGTGTTTGCAATGTTCAATGAGGATGACAAGCCTGGGCCAGCTTCCGAGAGGAATTTCGGGCTTTGGAAACCTGATGGTAGCATCTCGTATGATGTTGGTTTTCCTGCATTAAAGTCATCTGCAGTATCTGCATCACCTTTCTCAATAAAGGTATGCATTTGATTTATATATGTATTTGTTTCTATCTGTAGATTTAATTAAGCTGAGTGGATGACGGCCTCATTTATCAAAACTTATGCAAACTTATCATATATTGACCTAAGATTAGTAAACATTGCTCTAAGAGATAAAAGGAGTACAAGATTATATTATATAATGTCTATTTAGATCAGATTTTTGCATTGCTGTTATGTCATACCCTTTTTTTGGGTGTATTCATATAGGCAAGCATTTGTCATTGCTAGGCTTTTTGAGTTAGTATTTATCAATATCAAGTACAAGTCCTTCATGCGAGCAATACTGCTCTGCAAGTTTAGCTATCCTTTTGTATTAGTGAGAATTTCATGGTACACTAGGCTTGGTTTCATGCAGTATTCTGATAGGGATATAGTGTGGTACATCTTGGGGTCAAAGTCTCATGTTCTCTATTGTCTTATATGACTGTTGTAACCTAGAAACATGGACGTTTATTTTTTGCTCTGTCTCATTGTTAATCTTGATTAGTTTCCATCTTTATCTCTAAATGTGATGTAGGACAGCCCCTGTGCCAGAATATTTGGTTGGCTTCTTTTTATTTACCAATGAATGTGCTATATCTTAGTTTTATCTTCCGAGACTGTATTGAAATTTTAGTTTATTATTGCATAGTGGGGATGGAGTTTTTGTAGAGCATACAAATATATCATACTTCATTTATTACTTGTTCTGACATATGGGGATTTGGGAGTAGCCCTTAGAGCCTCTTACAAGCTTGGAGAAGTTGGTGTAGGATATTTGAAGGTGTGATAAGGGACAGGATTGACAAAGACTAAGGTAGCTAAGTGTCCTTACAAGCTCATTTTTCCAAATCTGTTCACTACTAGAGCATGATATAAAAGTCCGAGCAACAGATTAGCAGTTTCTTTTCTTTCTAAATTTCAAGCCAAATATTTGTAACCTCTTTATCTGTAAGACTTTCCGAACATAGGATTGTGTTCATATATATGTTCAATAAACTTGGAGGCATAAGGTTGAGGAATTTGGTTAGCTTTGTCATTCTCTCAGGTTTATTCTTGTAATGAATTGTCTTTGCTAAGGAAATAATATTGAGACACACTTTTTATGCACAGGATTCAATGTGCCAAATAAATTGCGAGTGAGTCTTGCGACTATTGTATGAATAGTATTGGTTATTGTAATCTATCCTTAAAACTTAGGGTTTCACTTGGAATATGAAAGGGCTTTTTTCTCAGGAGTGATGTTTATTCTAGGACTCTAGGAGATTGGTCTATTGGTAGTTTGCTATGACAATATTAGTTGGTTAGGAACTTAGGATTAGCTTAAAGAGAGAGGTGAGGAAAATGGTAATGTCTATATATAGATAGATCAGTTGGAGGGGGGTGTAATCAGAATTATAGGGAGTTATTTTACTTGCTTAGCTTTTTGTCCGGAGTCACATGAAGGTTTAGGATTGTAGCCACCTTTTGTTTATCAAATCACATCAAATTATGATCATCTTTCATTCTCCCTGTATTCTCTTCTTCCTCATTTCTATAATTCAACTTTAAGATACTTTAAAGCCTAGAGGTGTGCCCCTGATATGATATTATGCTGTTTTCCAGCTATCGCTTTATTTCACTTTAGATAGCACATATTATCATAATGGCTTCACTCTATTCACTTTGAAAGTTGAAACCCCTTAATTAAATGTAGTAACTTTTATATGAACTTATTGTCCCTGACATGACCCTCATCCCAACTTTGCCGAATTTATATTTTCTGAAATTTTTAAGGTGTAAAAATATAAAGCTATATATCTGATTCCTTGATTTACAACGATGAGCAGGATATACGAGCTCAAGGTTGGTTGACACCATACTCCACCGTTTTTACTACCTCCATGATGATATTGTTTCTGCTCTTGAGATCATGATAAAGCTACAGCGTGAAATTTTATTCAGGATTTAAACAAGTAGCAGGTACTTTTTCGATTATTCAGTAACTAATCTGTTGTGCTGATTAAAACATGTTTAAGCATGTTTCCAGCAGCCACAGATGATTTTTGTAACTATTAAAACACATGCTAGATGAAGCTGATAATATTTGTTACGTTCAGCAGTATATATCATTTTCCAATTAGCAAATAAAATCTCCTCTTCTGCTTTGTGAAGAATCGACAAATGCTTTTAAAGTTTTTAACCATCAGATGGTGCTTACCATTGTTTAGCATTCACCGTAATTTAGCCTTTTAGTTGGATGTAAGCGTTTACATGACTTTTTGTTTTGCATTCTATGTTGGACGAGTGTAACTTATAACCTTTGAGAAAAACTTTGCTGGTATCTTGGGTTACAACGAATGAATTGACTTAGTAGGGCAGTTGTGGGAGCTGGGAGGTGCCATCTATTATGGTATTTTGATGGCGCTATCAAAGGATTGCCGTCTATCCATGAACCTTCTGTCCAACTTCAGCAGAAATATGTCATTGGTTTCCAATCTTTCCATAATGGGTTGCAACTTGCCAGGGTTGCGAGCGATGAGGTGGGATCATTGGGTGTAATTGTATAATCCACCTCCCCTACTCACGCATTGTCCTCATGAGAACTAAGTATATATTATTTGAGGGAAGTGCAGGCCATTTCGGCCGCTTTTTATCCAAATTGAATCACACTTTCTGATATCAGAATTGTTTACCAAGTACCGCTGATTACGACTAGCCTATCCTGCTTGGCCCTGCTATCATTGGGGCTCTGGCCTCTTTGTGTGGCTCGCCCTTGAATGGTCCTGTTAAAAATATTTTAGCATTACACTTGCTCGGCTGGATTGCTAGGGGGCGGCTGTCTGGATGACTATATTAGGCTGAAGGGTCAACTATTTGGTTCCCCTTGCCGCCCCGAACAGGCCCATGATCAACTGACCGACCAAGCACATGACACAAAGTTTACAAACAATTTAAATATATAGCATCAACAAATAGTACTCCCAATAAACAGCTACGTACTTGTTATGGTTTACTTTGTCTAACAATGAGTACAATCAGGTAATCAGGGGAGTAATTTATTCTTTGCTAGCTGTATGATTTGTACTTTGGTTTGGCTTACTAAGAGATCGAAATATAATACGAGTAACAAAATAATGGTACGTCTTCCCTAAATTTTCAATTTTTTTATGCAGGGTGAGATTTAATGGACTTATTAATTCTTATTACTACCTCCGTCCTGAATTAGTAGCCACATATGATGTCGATGATCATAGCTCGATAGTCGATGATCATAGCTCGATAGATTTTATGACGAAGCCACAGATTTTCTGAAAATGGTTAAATTGATGAGAGAATCTACACACATCGTATTAGTTGGCATTTTGTCAATTTGAAATAAACAAAGCAATAGAATACGAACTGATCAAGTCATCCTAACAATGCCTAAACGTTGTCCGACTTGGTGGCAACCCATTATGTCTGGCTTCAAAGAAAATACATGTAACATGTTATATATAATGTGGACATAATTATATTACTCAATTAGACCTTAAGAACACACAAAGGTCTGCATCAGAGAAAAAGAGAGATTGATAATGGCTGGAGCAATGTCGAATGTATTGTTCATAGTTGCAGTAGCAATAATAATGGTATCGAATGGTGTTGTTGCGGAAACACACATTGTGGGAGATAAGAGTGGATGGACTGTACCATCTCCAGCAACTTTATATAGCACCTGGGCTGCCAAACAAGACTTTGCTATTGGTGACATTTTAGGTAATTATTAAGTTTTTGTGTTAGTTTATGTATGTAATTTAAACTACTTGTATGAATTAGCTTTTGTGGTGCTTGAAGTACGTATTAGTCTTGATGAGGTTGGTTGGATGATTGATCCACACCCGGCTTCTGCTAGGGAGTCGCGGTTGAATCCTCAGTCTGTAACTGTAAGATCGTCCTGATTATATGTTTTGAGTCAAAGTGTAAGATCCAACTATACTATCTTAGTAAAATGTGTTAATTTTTTATGATGAAATTAGTGTTACAATTGAAGCTAAGAACAAATTTGTGTCATAAAAAGTCAACTAGAACAAAGTATGCAATATAAGTGGTTAAGTTTATGAATGTATGACATTGTTTATAATACTCATTTGCATTTTTATGTGATTGTAGATTTCCAATTTTCTGCTCCTCATAATGTGGCTGAGGTATCAAAGGAAGGTTATGAAGCATGTGATCCAGGGAATGCCGAGGTTTTCGCCATTGGCCCGAAAGAGATAACTCTCAACACAACAGGACCACACTACTTCGTATGCACCTTTGCTTCTCATTGTGTTGGTGGTCAGAAACTTGTTGTAACGGTTGGCAGCACCTCTGACTCATCGGATGCTTCTCCTGGTCCCACCACTACCGCCTCTCCGAGCCCTGCACCGTCAGTGGCACCACCACCGCCTTCCGACGTAGGGTCCTCACCACCTTTGTCTATTACTTCCACCTTCTTCTCTGTTTCCTTCATTGCCTCTATTATGGCTATATTATTTTAAGCATGATCACCCCTTTTTTTTTTATGGCAGCATGATCACCCCTAAACGTGTATTATTCTGATTACTATTTTGTTGTATTTTATTTATTGCTATTATTTTTTTCACAAAATGTCAAAGACTATTATTAAATTTTGTTATCATGGTGGTTTTTGTTAAATGTGAACGATGGATTGGCATTTCTTTTCCATGTAACATTTATCGGTTATATTATTGAGTCTTTTCAAGGGTATACATTATATTCAATATTCAATTCACAATTCACTAGGGGAAAAAAAATTGTGCTTGTACGTGTTCGTTTTTTTGGTAGCCTGGTTTGGAGTTGGCTCGATGGCTTCGACGACAACACTAAGGAGTGTGTGCAACCCTCTAAGATTGATTAACGTCACACTCGATTTATGTTTTAATGAATTTCACACCCATCATTTTGCTAGCTCAATGTTCTCAGTAGATAAACCATGCTGTTGGCAATAGTGCATGCACTCATGTATCATGATAAAGTACAACAGTTAGCTAAGTCATACGATGTCTTTCTTTTTAGCCAACTTAGGAATTTCGTAATAATATAGACTTATTAGTAGGATTCTTATGATTCCAAACCATCTTATATGAGCTTTGAGAGTGGGGAACACCCCACGCATTCACTTCAATTTTGAAAAAATAATTTAAAATTACCCCGAAAGCATAGGTAGTTGAACCATTCCTTTATATTTCCTTTAAATGCATGGTCAATTTAGCTATCTACATACACAACTCCTTTAATTAAGTTAAGGTCACTACATGCCTTTATGTGATTGACTAGGTGTCATATATGGTTCCAAACACCAATATATGATCTTGATCGAGATGTATGCATTCTCTACCATCCCGATAATTTTCAACACTAAGTCTAAAAATCTTCAAAATTGGTCTGATTTTGTGGATTATAGCCTTTAATTTTGGACAATTTATGAATTTTTCGGACTTTAAAAGAAAACAAGTCGGGGTGTTATCCATGGATCCCACAACACCCCAGGAGGCTATTTGAATGGTTGAAACTATCTACTTTGCCCCTAAACTTTCAGTTTAACCGTTTATGTACACAACTTCTTTCATTGACTTAAGGCTGCCAATGGCTCTGTATGTGACTAACTAATGGTCGTATATAGTTCTAAACAACATTATATGACCCCAGAATGCATCCAATACATTCCCGAGATTTTTCAACATCGGGTGTCGAACCTCCGAAATCGGTCCAATTTCGTGTATTATAGCCATCAAAGCTGGTTTCCAGGGACTATATTTTAACCTGACGAGATTATGCATTGAGGTGTTTCAAGGGGCTATTAAAGGGCCCCAAGAGGCTTACTTAGTGCCTGGAACCACCTCATTCATGCCTTGGTTCACCCTTCGTTGTCATATCTTAAGATGGCTTAGTTTCCTTATTTTACCTTGGCCCTGTTACCACCATAACCGTATAAAACTTGAAGAACTTGCTGGAGTAGCCATCTTGGCCTAGGAGACATGTAGATTATTTTCAATATCAAAGAGAACCTGCTTCGTATCCAAGATAGAATACTGCCTACATAGATCTTCCTAAGCTTTACTACACAATCTCAATGACTTTTTTTTAGAAGTTATGTTCATATCTGTCAAAAAATATAGGTTATGTCCATAGAATTATATTATACTTTGTATATTGTAAGATCTTGTTAGATTTATCTCAAATTATATTTTCAAATATTAACAATATTAAAAAAATTATAAGTACGTATTAATGGAAAAGTTAGACATTTTGGATCCCGACCAAGTTTTAAGAGTCAATATATACTACCATGACATCTAGATCAGACCTGCACATACAAATGTAAGGGCTCCATCATCTAGTACGTGCTAACTGCTAAGCAGCTAAGCTAGAAGATAAAAGAGACGAAGGTTGACTATTTCTTCATCTCTTTAAATTTTTTGTTAAAGTATTTTGACAACTAATGATCCGATATTATTTTATTGAAAACCAATTGAAATGTAATCATCAAATTTAAGATAATGGTGCACGACTATTTATGTAATTAGCAAACCAATAAAATCAAAATTGCAAAGAGAATTAGAGCAAGATTAAGAAAATTAAATTAAGATGGTAGAAAAATATTTAGTGGTGTTAGTAGTAATTACAACACTAATATTGTGTAATAATAATGTATGTGCAACAGATGTAATTGTAGGAGATGATGCAGCCTGGAAAGTTCCTGATTCCCCAACGTTTTACTCTTCTTGGGCTTCCAAGCACACTTTCATTGTTGGTGATACTTTAGGTAACAATATCAATGCATTTCTTCTCTATTTTAATTCAACAATTTATTTTTCAATATATGTGGGTCTAATGTTTACAAGATGAATTCGATTTATGAATGTTTAATGTGTTAAACATTGCTAAAATTTCGTTTTCCTATCATGTACATTAGTTTATATGCTATGGTCCTATGGAATATGTACCATGATATACGTCATATTAATCAAGATTACGTATATATAACGGAGATGAATTCAATTCCCTAGGGGTTTTGAGTGTAAGATCAAATCGGAGTTCCTTGTTATAAGACCATGAGCTAGACTCACTTGAACACCATCTTAAAAAGAAAAGTTTGTGTCCAAAATTAGTATGTAGATTTATTTCATATACTTTGAAACAAGTATCTTGTTTTTGAATGAACAAACAAATCACATATAATTGTAATCGCAAAGATTAGATTATACTGGAATGTAATGGTTTTGAATCATAAAAAAACTTTTTATACGGAGTAACAAAAGTTGTATCATTGACTATGATTCGTTTTCTGTATAGAATTAGTTAACTTTGATCACTAAAAGTATACACATTACCTATTACTTGTTCCATATATAATTAAGTAATTAATCTTAGGTATCCAAATTCATAATTTAGCTTAGATTTTTGTACCATGTTTAAGTTAAGGATTGAATAATATTGTTACAGTATTCAACTTTATGAATGGATCTCACACGGTGGCCTTGGTGAACAAAGATGCATATGAGACATGTAACACAAGTAACGTTATCTCAGTCAAGACTCAAAGTCCTGTAAGAGTTCCTCTTCAGAAAATTGGCCAACTTCACTTCATGTGCACCATTGATGGTCATTGTTCGTCGGGCCTCAAATTAGCCATCAACATCACCAACGAGTCACCAATGTCGTCATCGCCACCAGCTCCCTCGTCAGCCCCATCAGCTTCAAATCATCTCACTCCTTTTGCCACTCTCATTGCCTCATCTAGTCTTGCTTTCTTTTTGCTTCTTGTGGGATTCTATTGTTAACCATTTGAAAGTGCTCGTGATCACACATATTTGTTCAATTTTGTAAGAGTGCCTCATATATTAACATTATTGACGTGCCATTACTTGTTGGCGTGTTTGTAGGATGACATGTTAAAACTTTCTTTATGGTGTTACAATAAGTCGTGAATTGAGGGACATGTTGACACGCACTTCAGATTTATGTGTCTTCCAAAGGCTAGAGAAATTCTTAACTATAACGGAGACAAGTCTTCTAAAAAACAGTTGATCCAAGAACCTATTGCATATTATTGATCCAAGAATGATCGATCTCTCTTGATAAAGGGCCTAAATTACATGGATGGATCATAATTAGGAAAAAATAAGACCTTCAAAATGGCTAATGAATGCTATTTGGGCCAAGCACACTTATAAAAAAAGCCCAAGTAATCAAGACGAGTTACTATTACTCATAATCCATTAACCTAAATCAAACTCGATCCGAACTGTCTCTCACCTCCCTATTATTAAGGACTTTAAGGTCATGTTGAACATAATTTATAGCCAAAAAACATCAAGCATGTGATCTCTGAATAATAATTCTGTGTTATCAAAGATTGTGATAACATTTTACAGGTCATTCAGCAGTTCAGTGAGGTGTCGGGCCAAATGATTAATCTTTAGAAATTTTTTTGTCAAATTCAGTCCTAATACTCCTTCAGACTATAGGGATTATCTGGCCAGATGCTTGAGCCTAAAGCATCATCCATCCCTCGGTGCTTATTTGTGTCTTCCGGTCGACGTGGGCCGTAGTAAAGTTTTAAAGTTTCGGTTTTTGATTGACAACGCCTCTGATCGTCTTTCACAGTTCGGTTCCCTTAACCTGTCAGCTGCGATGAAGTTGGTTATCATTAAATCGGTGTTGGTGGCTTCTTTTAATCATGTCTTATCGGTCTTTAAGGTTCCAGCTTCGATATGTAGCCACATCGGTTGTATGTTAGCTCGCTTCTGGTTGCGGTCCTCCTCTTCTTCTAGGGGTACGGCGTTTCAGTCAGCTTCACTTTTACATCTCCCCAAAGGACTGGGAGGTTTGGGTCTTTATAGTATGGCTCTTGTTAATCAGGCCTTGTTAGCCAAGCAACGATGGCGTATTTTCCAGCACCCTCAGCTGCTCCTTTCCAGGGTCTTATGTGCGACATACCCTTCACTTCATTCTCTTAGTTCGGCAATGATGTCTCGCTCTTCTTGGGGTTGTCAGGGTTTGACGAAGGGGCAGTCTGTTTTGAACAAGGGTCTAGCTTGGAAGGTTGGCTCGGGTTCCCGAGTTCAGATCCTCGACGATGATTAGGTTCCCGGAGGATTGAGTTTTAAGTCTTCTGCGTTTGAGTCGGAGGCGCCGACTCACGTTTCTTCCATTATTATTCCGCGCTCTGGCGCGTGGGACACTTCTAAGATTTTTTGGCTCTTTGATAGTTTGTTGGCTCAGCGCATTCTGGCATTGGAAAGGCCGCACCGAGTCATGGATGACTTTGTTCATTGGAAGTTTTCTAGGGATGGTCGGTTTTCCACTAAATCGGCTTATTCTTTGCTGAGTCAACAATCTGTTGCTTCAATTGTCAGTACTCCAGCTCCTGCGCCGTGGTGGAAATATTTCTGGGGTCTCCCTCTTCTTCCTCTAAGGGCCTTCCAGTTAATCCAGTGTGTATTTTCTGTCGCACTAATCTTGAGACTACCTCACATCACTTTCGCGACTATCCCTTCATAGGATCTCTTTGGTCTCCCCACCTTTTGACTTTAAATGTGTTAGGTTTTACAGCAATTCAAACAAAGAATTACTTAAAGTTTGTGGGAAACAAAACCTAAATTGTGTATAATAACAATCAATTATACAACAAACCAAATACTATTAAAAATAGTACAACCAAGCACCAAATAAACAATGATTTTTCTGAAAATACAAACAAGAACACTAATGCAAAAGATTCTAACTTGCCTCAACTCCAATCCTTGATGATGATGAACATGAACATGAGAAAAACGATGACCACTTGAGTCTCAAACCTTGATACACTGTCAAAGGCGTGTAAACACTTTCCTAAAGAGGTTTATTTCCCCCACACAGTGCTTGGGTTAAACCGGAAATCCTCTTTGAGATACAATTGACAGCAAAACTTCGTTCTTAGCACTTATAATCGAAGAACAATGATTAATTCACAAAAATTGGCTAAATTTCAAGAGTATTCTCACAATAGTTTGCAAGAAAATTGAGAGAAAATGTGGAGAATACTTTTGGGAGAGAAAACAAAGAAATTGTTATGTCGTTTTTTTCGTTGTTCACGAAAATTCTCTTTTATAAGAGAAATAACCGTCAGCAAAAAACCGCAGAACTGGAAAGCAGCGCAGGCGCGCCTATTTTGGGAGTGGGCGCTCCTCCAAGAAATTCTGCAAATGAAACTAGAAGACTGTGAGGGGCGCGGTTTGAGCGTGGGCACTCCACCTGGAAGCGCAGGCACACCTCCTACTTTTATCCAACATGCTGATTTCTAGAGAGGTGTGCGGTTTAGACGCGCTCTCATCGCGGCCGCGCCTACCTGGCGCGGCCAAGCACCATACAACACTCTAAATCATCAACAAAATGGAGGTCACCTGGGTTTCACTCCTTTTCCAAACTGGGTTGTGGTTGTGGTTTTGTATTATAGGCAGTCTAAGGATTTTGTTGGACTGGTGTCTTTCACTACGAGAATTAAGCTCATTTCCGACGGAAAATTTCCGTCGGAAAATTGTGAAATTCCGTCGGAAATCGTCATTTCCGTCGGAACATGTCTATCGGAAAACCTTTCGTCGGAAAAAATGTAGTTTCCGACGGAAATGACGATTCCGACGGAATGATTTCCGTCATAGCAGGATCTGACTTTCAAAGATATATTCCGTCGGAGAAGGTATTTTCCGACGGAATATTCCGTCGGAAAATTTATTAAAAAAAAAAAAAAAAAAAAAAAAGCCCCACCCTGCCAGCCACCCAGCCCCACCCACCCAGACACCCAGCCCTACCCACCCAGTAGCCACCCACCCAGACACCCAGCCCCACCCAGCCAGCATTCACCCCACCCACCCAGCCCCACCCAGACACCCACACACCAAACGCACCCCACCCTTACCCAAACGCCCCCCACCCAGCCAACCCCTGACCAAACGCCCCCCACCTAACCCCTGACCAGACCCAGGCCACCCAACCCCACCACCAACACGACCCACCCAGCCACCCCCTTACCCAACAAAAATCAAAATTAAAAAATCAACAAAAAATCAGAAATTAAGGAAAAAATCAACAAAAACAAAGTTAAGGGGAAAAAAATCAGAAAATCAATCCATCAACAAATATTACAAATTCAACAAAAATTACAAAGTTAAGGAAATCAACAAAAAATCAGAAAATCAATCCAACAATTACAAAAATTTACAAAATTTACAAAAATTACAAATGTTGTTGTTGTTGTTGCGTTGTTGATGTTGTTGCGTTGTTGTTGATGTTGCTATGCGTTGTTGATGTTGTTATGGTTGTTGCTGTTGTTATGCGTTGTTGATGTTGTTGTGTCGTTGTTGTTGTTGTTGTTGAGGTCGTCGAAGGAGAGGAAGGAGGAAGGAAGGAGAGGAAGGAAGGAGAGGAGGACGTACAGGAGAAAGAGGGGAAAGAGGAGATAGAAAGAGAAGGGGAAAAAGGAGAGAGAAAGAGGCGGAGGCAGTGAGGGAGAGAGGGGAGAGGGGGAATTAGGGTTAGGTTTTTATAAAAATAGAGTTTCCGACGGAATATTCCGTCGGAAACTCTATTTTTTTTTATAAAAAAAAATTCTTTTAAATTTTTATTTAAAGATTTTCCGACGGAAAATTCCGTCGGAAAATCCTTTAATAATTTTTTTTTGTTTTTCCTGTTTTATTTACAGGTTCTGACGGAATTTTCCGTCAGAAAATTCCGTCGGAAAATCCTTAAATAATTTTTTTTTTTGTTTTTCCTGTTTTATTCACAGCTTTCGACAGAATTTTCCGTCGGAAGCTGTAATTTCCGAGGGAATAAATTCCGTCGGAAAATTTCCGACGGAAATTTCCTTTTGCCGACGGAATTTTCCGACAGGTCGACTTTCCGACGGAATATATGTCCGTCGGAACGTTTCCGTCGGAATTTGGCCTATTTCTTGTTGTGTTTCGTGTCTTTTCTCTGGGCTATTTGGGTTATGAGGAATCATTGTATTTTTCGGTAAGCGGTTTGGTCTCCTTCCTTGATTCGCCACCTTGCCCATTGGACTACTCGGGCTATGAAAGCTCGTGATTTTCAACAACATCTCTTGACTTTGGCCAGACGTTATCCTTCTCCTCCTCATGATTTGATGTCGTTATGTCTACAGGGTGGCGCCTCAGATCGTCTCGACCATTGTCTGATATTTGATGGTGCTTGGCTTTCCCAGGATAATCATGCAGGCGCCGGTTGGGTTTTTCGAGAGGTTTTTTCAGATCAAATTCTTGGAGGTAGTGCAAAGGCCAGTCGCGTCGCTACCGCTCTACAAGCGGAGTTGCAGGCTTTTCTGTGGGCTCTTCGAGCTGCCGTCCGTCAGGATTATCTTCGTCTTCTCATTTGTACAGACTATGCCGCTATGATCTCCTTGTTTCAACACTCCAGTTCTACAGATACTCCTATTTGTGGTTGTTTCAGGAGATTAAGGGGCTCCTCCCCTGTTTTTCGACTTGACGTCTTTGTAAAGTTCCTCGAAGTTGGGTTGCTCTGGCTGTTCGTGCTCGTGATCGCCACTTCCTTTGTTGGTCTTTTAGTTAGTGGTGGTTGTTTTGTTTGTTTCTTTGCTAGTGCTCTTTGTCAAAAAAAAAAAAAAAAAAAAAGCAAATCTCTTGGTACGAAGTCAACAATTTACAATTGACTCCACATTATAAAAATTACTCCATTATACTTGTACTTCACTATACCTTATAGTCTTATACTATACATGTATATAAGCATATAACTATATATAGCTACTTGAACTGTCTCTTTGACCAAATTAACTACATTTTCAAAGATAGAAAATTGAAGGATGAAAAAAAAATGAGAATGTTTTTAGTGATAATCATGGAAGTTGCATTATTATTGTTCATTGCACAGATGCAACAACATATATGGTTGGAGATGCATTAAATTGGGTGGATCCTCCTACTCCAACAACCTATTCTATTTGGGCTTCTTCCAATGTCTTTGTCAAAGATGATGTTTTAGGTAATTTTATTTCCTTATGTTTGTGTTTTAGCATATTTACTTTGTTAAATTAATAGTCATGATTTATTTAGGAAATATATTTTTCTTATATTATAATTTTTGTAATAGTGTGTTGTTAAGAAATCATATTCATGAATTGAGAACTTTATTCTACTCCATTTAAGAATTAAAAAACATATCATGCTCACATGTTAATTATTATTTCACCCGTGAACAAGCTTTTCTAGCTACAAAGTATTTTGTAATCATATAAGATAATATATAAGTGAATGTCCGATCTAGTTAGAATAACTATAGGTAATTTTAAATTATAACGTAGTATAAAATAAATGCAGACAATGTTCCGATACCTATATGTACATTTGCACACCCGTCCTAACCAAGCTATTGTAACGCTTTTATTTAAATTATATTCATGGATGCTCAATTCAAATATTGAACTAATATAATCATTTTTCCAAAATTTTCAGTATTTAATTTCAATAATGGGAGCCACAATGTAGCAGAAGTAACAAAGAAAGCCTACAACAAGTGTAACACAAGGTCTCTAAATGGAATTCCCTAAACAAAGAGGGCATAAGATATATATTTCATTTCCACCCTTAATATTGATTGTCTAAATAGTCAAAAATTGGCCATCAATGTCCTACAACACTTGCCACCACCGCCTCCAGCTACACCACCACCAGAAATTGCCCCGGGATCAACTCTTCCTCCTGCTGTTCCTACTATTGATGTTGTGATCACACCTCCTTCACCTTCAACTAATTCAGCTCCTTCATACTTTGGTCCTAATGTTACCTTTTTAAGTGTAATGGTAGCCCTATTTTTTGGTGTACTATGTCAAATTGTAATTCTTTACATTTTGAAGTTTTGATTTTGTATTAAATTCTTTATTGACTTCTGCATTGACATTGTTCGTGGAGGGTAGATGATAAAAATCTCATAAACTTATTATTCTTCTAGCTTTGTAGTAGACACGTCACAATCATGACATCTCCATTTGATTAGATATGATTTATTCTTATTTCAAGTCTGAAATTTGAAAAGTGTTATTTTAATCAAATTACACTTCTCACACACACTATTGCACATAGATTAAAAATTAACTTAGTTAGAATTTCAATCTCATAAGAATGGGCGAGCCCTTATTATGAATTTGTGAATTAATTGTATTCAATAACAAATTACACATTGGGTATTGCTAATTCTACAAATTCTAAGACTGATTCTGATTTTAATGGTATTGGTACGACTATATACACAATCTTTTGAAGTCTACAACACCTTGAATTAGTCATAAAAGTTGAAATTGTACTCCTCCGTATTAGAAATAGTCTTTTTGACATTTGATTTTATAATTCACCAAATTATAAATAGGTGATGAAAGCATAATTAATACTCTAGCTACGTATTTACCAACATTAGAATTTTAGACTAATTATTTTATGATGTGTTTTTTTTTTTGTTTTTTGTTTTTTTGTTTTTTTGGGGTGATGCATCATCATATTATTGTTATTTTTACGTTCAATTTTATGTTATGCACCAAACTCCATCATTGGCAAGTCACAAAAATTTTGTTGGGTCAAGTTTATCACAGGCCCAAAGGCCGGCCCAATATTCTGTCAAAGAGCAGCATTAACACGAAGTATTTATGGTGAAAAATATTAAATCATAATCATTTGGACAACTTGGGATAGTTATTTTTAATAGGGAGTATGAAAAAAAAAATAGACTACAAAAATCATTCAATTTGGACAACTTTAATCGGCTGCACAATATTTCAAACGCAAATATTAGAAAACTAGCCTCTTATTTTATTTCTAGAAGTTTCTAGTTGGTTTTTATTCTTATTTTTGGCATTGTATTATTATGATATGGTTTTATAATGATTTTGATGGCTTGGATCACATGATCTGAAAAAGAAGAGGTGGGATGAAGACAATGGGGTTATTACAGGGGCCAAATTTGACTTCTCTTCTTTCAATTCAATTTTTTTTTTAAATAAATTTTGCTTGATAAACCATGAGGAATTGTTATTCAAAAATTTTAATGCATAATTATGCTTAACATTTCCATTTTATCTACTACTCAATAATTTACCACACAAGTATATGTCATTTCCTTTCAATTTACCTCATAAATTATGTTTAGCATGTACTACTGAAATGTCTTTAGGAGGTAGATTTAGGGAATTGATAATCTGTTCACCTTATTTTCACTTATTTCAGGTATAATAAGTTCAGATGAGTTTAGTATTAAGTTTAGATAAATTTAGTTCAGTTTAGAGAAAATTAGTTCTGATAAGGGCTATCTGGCCAAATACAAATTACAACTATGATAAATTTTAATAAGATCTAATAAGTTCATATACCTGAAAATCAAATGAATATAACACACTCTTAAAGGAAACAATATAATTTACCTCCTAAATTATGTTTAGCACGTAAAACTGCACTACGCTTTTTTATCTAATACGGAGTATGCTTTTCGTATATATAAACCATGGGACTGGCTTGATTGCTCACGTCTTGGCCCAAATCCTAGTTACTAGCATCCATAATCACATCTACCACTTACTAATCACATCAATTCTTTTAGCTATCATGTAAAAAGGAACTAGAAAAGGGTAATGATACATACAACTCTTATGATTACGAATAAGAATTTAATATATTTCTTAAATTGATATTAATTTTAGAACTTGATGTACTCCGTACTTATCCTTTTTCATAAAGGAATGATAAAACATCATTATATTATGTTATTTTTTGTTATTGTAGCTTAAGAAGAATCTTTCATTCCTTAAAAGCCAATTAACAAATTAAATTTGTTTTCATGTCAAAATCATGCTCGTTATATACTATAGTGTATAACTTTTTCAATACGAATTTGTCAACCTTCTAGTTATAATATCATAATGTATTTTTCTACGTCCAATATGTTGTAATTAACTCCGTACTTATTAAGTCATTGGTTGGTCAATAAAAGAGATTAGTAAGTCGGAAAGCAATCACAATTCACAATTAAGAAGAAGTAAAAGGACCAAAAAAAATTTAAAAAATAGTCAACTTAAATAAAAAGTCCAAATAGGTTAGGTGGAAATGAGACCAAACTCTTCAACACGGCTAATTGCATGTGTGCACAAAAATCTTTTAATCTTACTAGCTACGTTGTTTTTTGAGACTAAATAAAGAAAGCTACATAAATTGATACATACCCTTAATTTTAAGACCTCTCTTTCCTCTTTACTTCTTTCGACACGACTAAATGTCCCCATTAAACACGGGTACTCGCCGCCAAATATGCACCCCATCCCCTTAATTATTATCATCTACGTCTCCCTATATCTTATAACATCATTTAATACATCATCATCGTCATCATCGTCTTACATTAATTACATCTTAAAATATTGTTAATCTGATCTAATTTTATCTATACAATACTGTATAGATATATAAAAGAGTAATTTTTTAAAAGCATATATAACTGCAATTTGTATATATTACTGGTCTTACAATGTATACTTCAAATTTCGAAGTCGTTTGGTTATCACTCAAAATCATGGTAAGTGGGAGAAATTTATTCCTGCTTTCAAATAAAAGTCTTATTTATCTTTTACACGCGTTTTAAAAATATGGATAAATATGTTTGCTTGATTAAAATTTAAAAGTGAAAAACAAAATATTGAAGTTTGATTTATTAAAAGTGAATTAGACTTGATTGAAATAAGACTTTCATTTTAAAACGGAGTACATTATCTGGTTGACAATACCATGTAGATTGGAGGAGGTTGTTCACTTATGTCCTTCTAACTACATATAATTGCATACTTTTCATGTTCAACCGAATATTATTCAATTCATATGAAATGAATATACATGTATCGATCTTATAAGCATACTTTATATTAGGGTAAGAATAATATGAAGTAATTAATCACAAATTATAAAATATATAACTACAACATAGTAATTTCTTCTTAATAAATAATTTAATTTATTTCTCGTGTCTAACCAAACAAGCCCTTTGATAACAAGTATGCTACACGTGAATCTAAACTAAATATCCAAATTCTATGAAAATAAATCGCTCGTGATTTAAATCATTAATTAAATTTTGAATTCCAATTATTACTTACCTAATCAAAACTAGCTTAGAATTTGAAATCTCACTTAACATAAATATGACCTATATATTTATACATTCACTCAGTAATAATTCATGGATCAATTAATTTAAGATCTAAATACCTAACCAGATCTAGCCAATAATTAAAATCCTTACTATTATTATCATTATTATTTTGTCTTCCACCATTTTTGACTAAAATAATATTGAACATTTGACAGCCCAAAAAACCAACTCAAACCAAAAACAAACAAAAAGTTGACCTCTTCACACTTAAATTCTCCTAATCCTCCCAAAAAAAAAAAAAAAATCAACTAATCCACACACACGTGTCAAACATCCAACGGCTCAACCAACAAAAAATTCTCCAACTTTTAAAAAAAAAACACGGTTCTCTACTTTTTGTTAGACTTAGAATTTTTTGTTATAAATACCAAAAATAACACACATCTAACTTCATCCCATTATTTCTTGCTCTAATACTTTCTAAAAACACCTAAAAGTTTATAGAAAACTTAGAGCAGGGGCGACTAAATCATTTGAAGAACACAACAACAACAACAAAACTCAAAAAAAATGGCAGGATACAAATCATCTTTGTTACTTGCACTAGTTATGATTGCTGGAATTTCTGAACTTTGTTCAGCTGCAACACACATAGTTGGTGGTACAACTGGATGGACTATTCCAAGTTCTCCTTCTACTTACTCTACTTGGGCTAATGGTGAAACCTTCGCCGTTGGTGATGTTCTTGGTACGTATTCTTCGTGTTAGCGGTCTTTGTTAATACTCCATCTGTCCCATAATAATATTTGCTGAAGTGGTAGTTTGTATGTAAGTATGCCTACTTTGTAATCTTTGAGATTGTGAAGTAGGTAAACTACAAATATTGTGGGATGAGGAAGTGGTTACTTGTTTTTTTTAATGCATTTTTGGATCTTGATTTAAATTGAATTTTTTATATTATAATTTCTTTTACTATTTATGATTAGTTAATATTGGGTAGTAATAATAGGTTAAGGCATCTTTTTAATTAAAGATCTAGACTTTGAATTAAAAACTTTTAAGAAAACAAAAGATAAAGGTAATAGTAATTATAAACTATAAAAGTGGTAAAGATTCGTTAACTATGTCAATATTTTATCTTTGTGATGATAAAATAAACAAGTACTTTAGTACTACAACAAAAAAAAAAGGAGAAATATTTTTTGTTTGGTAATTTAAAATACATGAGAAATATATATCAATAATGGAGCCTCATATTTAGTTGCATAGTATGCATGGAACTCCATATTGGACCATTTTTATCTTTCAGCATTATTCTTTATACTTTCTCATTTATTTTTTTGAAGAAAAACATGTGGTGTGAATGGTGTGATCGATAGTGCATTATTTTAGCACCATGCTTTTGGAACAAAGTGTGTTGTACATCAAACAAAAGATTTCTAAAGCTATATGATTGTTATACAAAAATGCCATATGCATGTTTGTTGACAAATTTGCATACCCTTATGTTGATAGTATAAAGTCGTTTGTACGTGTTAGGTGTTACATTATGTCACTTATATCTCTTCTAGAAACAATTTGAACAAATAAACTTGACCACCTCAAACGTTAAACCTTTATCTAACTAATTCAAAATGCGAGTTGAGGCCAATCTCCTTAAACACATCGTTTTACCTACCAAGCTTTTCTTTTGAATAATATATGTAGTTCATTCCCCGACTTTACTAACATACACCGATATCATGTATAGTTAAGTGTACGATAATACTCCGTACTTCATATTGTATCTCAATTTCTAACATTACATTATTTATGCAGTGTTCAATTTCACAACCGGGGCCCACACCGTAGCCGAAGTGAGCAAGGCAAACTATGATGTATGCAGCACTAACAGGACCATTGGCGCCGTCCGCAGCACCGGCCCCGCCAGCATCACCCTCACCGCCGCCGGAACCCACTACTTCCTTTGCACCATCCCCAACCACTGCTCCACTGGTCAAAAGCTCGCTGTGACCGTCACCGGACCCACTGGTTCCCCCGCCTCTTCACCCGCCCCTGCCGGTGGTGCTTCCGCCCCCTCTGGTGGTGCAGCCACCCCCGCCGAAGGTCCCACCACCCCATCTGGCACCCCCACCGTCCCCGCCGCCGGTTCCCCTGCCGCCGATGGTCCCGGAAGTTCATCCCCCCCCGGCAACTTCGCCGCCTCTACCAGTGTTAGCATGTTGAGCTTAGTGTCTGTTGGTGTTGCGGCTTTGATGTTCTAGAGATGATTTTTGTTGCATTATTTTTACATGTTTTTGGGTGTTATTATTTATTTACTCCTTTTTTTTTAAATTTCGTTTATTATTAACGAATTAATTTTTTATCATGTTATGGTCTATATATATTTTTGGTAGTTCTTTGTGTAATAATAAGGGCTGATTTTTCATCCATCAGCCTTTGTTTTATGGTACATTTGTTCGGTATAAATATATTTTTCTTCTCATCATGATGAGTTTAAATTTCAATGGCATAAGCGTAATTCACTTTTTTAATTTATAGTTTAGTCATCGATACTCGAATGTATGTTATATTTGAAAATGTATAAACCAAGCAGATTACATGCGCATAGCCCTTCAAATTTCATTAGCTCGATTCACAATATGCATAGTTTTAGGCTTTTAGCTTTACTCGACTTAAAATGTCATTAGCAAATAAGTTATGGTATACAATCTCACAAGCATAGAGCCATAGATTGATAGAATTGCCATGTAGTAGTATTTTAGAAGGTGAAGTTTCAGGTCATATGACTCATATCTAGTTAGTTAGGTCTTGTACACTAGTTAGATTTGTTACAATTAGTCATGATATATAACATTCTAGAGAAAGCCGCAAGAGAAAATTAAAATAATAAATAAGTAAACAAGAAATTACCACAAAAGAAATATGGCTAAGAAGTCTTAAATGCACAAGAATTACATACTTTACCAAAGCAAACTAAAAGAAGTTGAAAGTAAAATATTTTTGGAGAACTATCAACATTAAATCAAAAATCTTTTACATGAAACTTAATCTTGAGATATTCGCTATATATATATATATATATATATATATATATATATATATATATATATATATATATATATATATATATATATATATATATATATATATCAGGTTGAAAAGTGTAATTTGTAACTGTCAAATGATCTCCTTTTTCAAATGTTTTTCATGATTATTTTGTAAGACTAACTAACTTTTAGTTATTAATTTCTACAATATTATATAAGAAAATCAAATAATTAGTAAATTATCTTAATGTTGATTTTTTAAAAAAAAAACTCCAAATCAATCATGATAAATAAAATACGATAATTTATTAATATCTGAGTATTAATTTTGAAAAAATTACCACTTCAAAGCTGTTTTAATTTGAATAGAAAAGGGTACAAAAATTTGAAATAAAGTATTTTAAACATGTATAATCATTGGACAAACTCTTTTAACTCTACCATTATTAGTTAATTGCTAGACTATAAAATTGTTGATTGGATGATGAATTCTTTACAACCACTTCCTCAACTATTTTGACATTTTGTAACTGATCATCCAAGATCATAAAAAAAGAACCTACTTAAAAAAGCGATTGTGACTTTCTCCAATGAGCTAATAACTTTTGTTAAGCATTAATTGGTTTAAATAACTTTGGTGGGATGATGATGTACAATATAATATTAACTTTTTCATATCATTCTTTAGAACCCTATGCTAAAATGTATTCATATCATTTAAAATTATCTGAGCACTATTGTCTTCTCCAAAAATTAGAATACAGATGCTATATAATAAGACGGAAGAAGGTGTATTTTTTTTTTTTTTTTATTTTGTTATTTTTTTTTTAAAATAATTTGTTGAAAATATTGTTAATTCAATATGAATAACGTAAATTTTATTTGACTTTAACCTTTTCTATGATGAAAAGATTAGAATGTGATTTAAGGACCAAAGAAAAATTACTTGTAATAACAAGTACTCGTAGAATCTTTTGTAAAAACAAAAAAAAAAAGAAGCTAGTACTCGTAGTAAACTTCGCATGCCTAACGAGTCCTTGACCTTAAAGAGACTAAGACATGATATGATGAGAGGCAAGTTTCGACTAGTTTCCTTGGTAAACCTTAAGTTCATTTTATTTTTAATTAAAGATATAGCTCATTTGCTCATAGGGGCCGGGGATTAAGGGAATTTTTTATTTTCTATCCGTTTGACAAATTTCAAATTATCTAGTCACGTGAAAGTTAAAACCTCAACGTAGTAGCCTAATAGGTAGTATTACTTTCATTCTATTTATAAAACCTAAGGTATATGTCAATTCAAAATACCAAAACAATAATTAACAACTTTGTATTCTATGTATATAATGTAAAAGATCCTACAAGGAAAGTATTAAGGAAAAATGGAAACTAATGATCCCACCTTTGGGTTTTCTAGTGAAAACAATCCCACCTTTAACCTTCATCTACTCAAAACAAGCCTTTTACCAGTTTGTAAAATTGGTAACCTGTTTCAGAAGGTGACTGGCCACGTATTAGCTTTTGATTGGTTTTTTAAAAAACAAATAAAAGAATAAAAAAATCCCTCTCTCCTCTTCCCAGGACCAGCAGCTCGCCGTTAAAACCACTCTCCCTTGCCAGAGCCCCTGCCGGACCAGCCGCTCGTCGTTACAACCACCCTCCCCTTGCCGGAGCAAACCTACTTAGCATACTCTGTGATACCGACTTGCCAGCGAAACTCTCACCAATGGACTCAAACAAAACGCAAAATTCGCAACATTTGTTAGCACCAACCTCGCCGGACTTGCCTTCAATCTGCCCAGACTCACCGGTTACTGCACCAAGTTAACTCGCCAGATCCAACCACCGAAATCGACGATGAACTCACATTCTCACAACACTCAATTTAGATCGGAATAACTTCGAGATAAGACTAAATTGTTGTTGTTCGCACTGGCGGCGATTACGACAAAACAGACCTCGAATTTTGCGTGTGAGGTTTGCCGATTTGGTGGCCTAGAATATGGTTGGGAGTGCGCAGTGGAGGTCAAGTGGATCGCTGGGATTAGGTGAGGGGGTCAGCTGGGGTGGAGAGAGCGAAGGTAAAACGAATTTTGGGATTGAGGGTGGTCGGGTTTAGGGATTGGGTGGGGGGTCTGCTGGACCAGGCGGCGAAGTTGGGTGGTGTAGTGCGGTGGTGGGGGGTTCTGCTAGACCAGGCGAGGTTGGGTCAGGTAGTGGTGTGGTGGTGTTGATGAAGTGGTGGTCTGGTTATGGAGGGTGGTGATAATGGTGGAGTTGCCATTGAAGAGGTTAGGAAAAAAAAATTAATAAAATAAATCAACCTGTTAAACAGGTTATGGGTAAAAGGAATCATTTTGAGTAGATGGGGATTAAAGGTAGGATTAATTTGAAATTTCGAGAAGGTGGGATTGTTTTGAAATTTCGAGAAGGTGATATTATTTTGAGCAGAAAACCCAAAAAAAGGATTATTAGTTTCCATTTTTTCAAGTATTAAAATGCCAAAAGAAGTAGTAATACAACTCAAGTAGCAACTAGCAAGTAGCAATCATGGTGAAATAAAAAAATTAAAAAATGCTTGTACTTGAGTACCGATAGTTAAAATTTTATGTTTTTTAAGACATTGTTGTCCAATTACAACACATTCTAACATATAAATGTTTTTTTTTTAAGGATCTACTAGTTAGTTTATTTTATTTTATTTAATTTTTTTGGAAAAAAAATAAATAAATAAGATGACCCTCATTATTAGCTTTGATTAAAAAGAAAAACATAAAAAAGTTGAACCTTGATCAAAGCAATTGTGTATTTTACAATTTTAATTTGTTCATTTATTTTCAATTTATAATATTAATTTCACAATATTAACATAAAAATATCTTAGTATAGTTAGAACTTGAACAATCCATTAGGACCACTATCCATAAATATGAATATATTTATACTCCGTATATGATATATTACACGATGTACAAATTGAAATTAACAACTAATTATTTATATAAAATTAAAAAGAATGCAACAACTCTTTTTCTTAAATAAAATTACTAGCCACTAGGAACTAGCCCACTAATTAAGATCAGTTCCACTCCAACTCAAATGCTGGAAGTGACCTAATCCATGATCATTCAAGTTCAAACTCAAGTTTCATAAAGTTAAACAATAATACCCTACTAATATACATATAATTTTCTCCATAACTTTAATAATTCGTTCTCTATTTCTCTTCCAAAATCGTCGTAATTTTATATAATAACTACAATATTTCTCATACATAATCATAGCACAGTTTATAAAAAATGACTCGTAATCAAATAGTACCGCATGAAATAGGGACGGAAGAATTAGAGATTTTTATTTTTATTTTGTTTTAATATTGAGTAAAATATTATTAGAACCTTAACATGTAAACATGTATGTTCATTGAAAAGGATCCTTTCACATGGTATAATTGTAGAATTCCATCTTTAGACCAGTGGCGGAGCCAGGATTTATAATTCGGGGGGACAAATTTTGGAGGTTAAAGTTTCGGCAAAAATCTCAAGAAAAAAATTGATAACCTAAATTGTTTAATATTTATTTGAAATCACATATGCCAATTATTTCTATATGGAAAAAGAGGGGTAAAAAAGTTTTATTGTATATTAAGAAAATTATCCAACAAAAATGAATAAATTTATATTTGTAAATCCTGTTATGTAATCACATAATTGATAAATACGAATTAATTACCTTATCATAAAGTCAAATAATTATCGTTAAAACAAATTGATGGTAGATATGAAGGGCCAGGGTTTGAGTTACATTTGAAAAAATAAACTCAACTTTTTCAAATCAATCATATTATTAATATGTATTTCGTTAAAACACAGTTACAAACAATTAATTAATAGTAATCTATTTATTAGAAATGTAAAAAAAAAATTGAGTTTAAGCACACTTAGTTAAGCGATAATTAAAAACAAGAAGTAGGAAATAAGAAATAACATTAAAAATCCTAAAACAAGCAATAGGAAATAAAAAATCAAATTAAAAAGGTTGTTGAAAATTAGAGTATGTAATAAAAAAAACAAGAAGTAGGGGAAAAAAAAAACAAAAAAGCTGAAAAACAGTAGAGTAGGGAATCGAACCTAGGACCAAAACACAACCTTACTAAGGACTCAACCACCAAACCATATTCAATATTGTGATATCTACTGTAAGTATATGTTATTTATAGCCTTTTACTGTATTTTCTTGATTTTTTTTTTTTTAAAAAACTTTTTTTCCGAAAATGGGGGGACAACTGTCCCCCCTTGTTCTAATGTGGCTCCGCCACTGCTTTAGACCCACAAAAATTGTCACATAGTATAGAGCTCCATACATATTTTAGAATACAAGTACAACTGTAATGCGTTTACCATGAAAAATTGTACATTATTTACATATTTTGAATTTTCTTTTATATTTGTCGAAAA